TTTTTTTTTTTATTTTTTTTTTTTTTTTTTTTTACAATTGCCACCTGTTTATTTTAAATAAATAAAAAAAAATTAGAATTTTTTTAAATTTTTTATGAGCTTTGAATAGAATTTTGAGTTGTGTGTTTGGTTTATGAGTTATAAGTTTTTGTATCAAATATCATATGTCACATCAAAATTCCCCACTCAATTCAAAACTCTTTTCAAAACTCATTCACCAAACAAATTTTTCACACTCAAATCATAATTTCAAAACTCACAAACTCAAAATACAACTTTTATTCTCAAATCATATTTAGAAAACTCTACCAAACGCTACTTTAGTGTTTCAAGCTTTTTTATTTTTTAATTTATGTAAGTACAATTAAAAACTCTTTATTAATTCCTTTGTATATATACTTTTGAACATTTAACTTTCATTATGAAATATATGGCGTTATTTCATTCAATATGTGGTTGCGATTCAAAGTATAGTATATAGTGTGCATTACATTCTTCAAATGTGCGTACAAAAATAATATTGATTATTCTTCAAATATGTCGAATCTTTTTTTATAACATGCATTAACTGTGATGAGAAATGCATATAACGGCGCTGTTTGGGAAGTTTGGTTTTTGGTTTTTTTTCACTAAAAGACAAATTGGTTACAAAATCAAAAAAAAAAAAAAAAATCCAAACAAAATTTCACATCAAACCTCATAATTATTTCACTTTTTATCTCACAAAATATCACATCTAACCACAAAAAAAATCCAACTATCTTCCCAAACACAAAAAAAAAAAAAATTCCAATAATATCCTACAACTAAAAAAACTACAAAAAAACCCACTTCCCAAACACCCACAACATGGGATCTTATCTCATTATTAATCACAGGTTTTATTAAATATTAATCACACTTAAAATCTGTAATCTAAATGTTTATTATCACATGTTCTAAAAGTTATTAATTACACTTAAAATATGTGATCCAAATGTTATTAATCAAATTTAGAAGATGTGGTCTAAATATTTATTATCACGCGCAAACGTGTGATGGAATCATTTTTTAATAATACTCAAAACGTGTGATTAAAAATGACTCTTTTTAATTACACTCTCAAATATCACATTTAGACAAAACTTAAAACGTGTGATTAAATAACATATATCACACAAAAAAATGTGATCTATTTTTTATTTTGTAGTAGTGCCAGAACTGGATCCTGCAACCATCACCTACCCTAATCTTTAGATTACTAACATAGAAATCAAACAAAGAGGGATTAGACAGTACCACCATCAAAATATCACTCCATAATCTTGACATCTTTCATCATTAGAATTCATTACTAGTAACCACCTTCCACCATGTGAACCATACTAAGAGAGATGAATACATATTTATTTTACATGAACTGGATCATGAAGAAATTGGGGCGTTACAAGTACTCTACATCAACACAATAGAAATCGTAGCAATTAACATATCTTAGAGTTACAACATTTCCATGTTATTAACATCCAAACATATGAGTATACCTATCATGCTAAGGCATCATCCATAAATTTCAGCAGGCAAACGCGGAATGAGTAAGACTTGTAATGGTGTTGCTTTGATAGTGGTGAACCCATTACTCTCGGTCATATCAACAACCTCATAAGATGGAGTTGCAAACTCAAACGAATGTAGTAGACTAGCAAGCGAAAATTGCACAACTTGAAGTGCAAAAGAGATTCCAGGGCATGCTCTTCTACCACTTCCAAATGGAATCAACTCAAAATGTTGGCCTCTCACATCGACGTCCATGTTAATTGTGAGAAATCTTTCTGGTTGAAACTCTAAGGGGTCTGTCCATACTTGAGGATTGCGATGGATCTTCCAAACATTTAGAAAAAGGCGAGTGCCGGTGGGGACATGATATCCGCCCACACAGCAGTCTTCCACAGCCTCTCGTGGTGGTAAGAGTTGTGCAGGTGGGTATAAACGTAGTGTTTCCTTGACTATGGCTTGTAGGTAAGGCAATTCCTTCATGTCTGATTCCTTCACTTGCCTATGGTTGCCAACATGGGTTTGTAACTCATCTTGAGCCCTCTTTAGTACTTGTCGATTGTTGAGAAGCAAAGCTAGAGCCCATGTAAGAGTAACTGTTGTGGTATCAGTGGCCCCTAAAGTAAGACTCTGCAAAGCACACATTCATCGAAACAATTAAGTACATCCAATATATGCAACATAAAAAAAATTATAAATTAAAATTAAAAAAAAAAATTATAAAAAAAAGAAAAAAACTTTGTAAAAGGTAATGATAAACAACACGAATTTACATAGAAACCTAATGACACGATCTATTTACATTTATTCATTGAAATATTAAATAAATAACACTTACAAACACTACACTTGGATAAAAAAATCCCACTTGAACCCTATTAGTTTTAATTATATAATAATCAATCCCTTACACTTCTCAAGTGTCAATATGATCCAACCATGAGACTATGTGGATGTTTGGAAAGTTGCTATATTAGAAAATTATTTTAATTTTTGACTATTTTAATAGGTTAAAATTTTTAAGTTTGGGAAGATAGTTAGATTTTTTGATAGTTAGATGTGATGTTTGTGAGAGAAAAAATGAAATGATTATGAGTTTAATGTGATATTTTGTTTTATTGATTATTTTATCTTATTTTGTCTTTTTATGAAGTTTAACCCAAAAAACAAAAAAAATAACATCCGCCAAACACTACCTCTATTTACAAAGTTAATGGAAAATAATCACATGGCGATCATGCTACAATTGTCACTTGATTTTGGCAATACACAAATTCCACTTCAATCTATTAAATTTTAATTGTAACAATCAATTTATTACACTTCTTTTAAAGAATTTGGATCTTCTCTAACACTTTTTTTTTTTTTAACCCTTGATCTAAAAGTCACAATTCAATAACTAGTCGTTATCATATTTTGTGACTTTTGGATCAAAGACTAGATAATGGTTGGATGACGAAAGTGTTAGAGAGGATCATCTGCCTCTTCTCAAGCAGAAGCCTACGTGATCCAATCACCAGACTGTTGCGGATCGGGGGCACACCAGGGAACTCAAACAAGCAATAACACACAAGATTTAACGTGGTTCGGCAAGTCGCCTACGTCCACGGGCAGCGGATTCACTATATTGAACAAAATGGTAAGAATTACAACACTCTCTGTAATTCTCTCTCTCTCTCTCTTTGCTCTCTAAGCTCACACCTCTCTGTTATCTCAGCTGTACCTCTCAACTCTCCTTAGCTTCTCTATATATAGAGATTACAAATACAAGAGAAAGTCTTTGAAATGAGCTGGCTGCCAGCCCATTGTTGTGCTTTCGGTGGCTTTCCAGATTGATGCTTCACATGGCTTCTCATGGCCTCATGGCCAACTCACATGGCCTCATGGCTTCCCCACCATGTAGCTGACTGCCACTTTCCATCACATGCCCAGAATCTGTAGCCAATATTCAACAAATCTCCACCTTGGCGAGGATTCTCTTATCCTGGCTGCCAGCCCATTATTGTGCTTTCGGTGACTTTCCAGATTGATGCTTCACATGGCTTCTCATGGCCTCATGGCCAACTCACATGGCCTCATGGCTTCCCCACCATGTAGCTGGCTGCCACTTTCCATCACATGGCCAGAATCTGTAGCCAATATTTAACAAATCTCCACCTTGGCGAAGATTCTCTTATCCAACATAGTGATCGATCAACACTGCCATGCACCCGAAGGTGCTTAGTTCCGAGAGATGTTGACCAAGTCCAAACAATGTTGGAACTTGATCCCAGAAACTACCTATGTGAGCATATCGGCCGGATTATCTGCAGTACCAATCTTTTGAAGCAGAATATCCCCTTCATTCACAATTTCTCGGATGAAATGGAAACGGACATCAATGTGCTTGGTGCGGGCATGATGAACCTGGTTCTTTGCCAAACAAATGGCACTCTGACTGTCACAAAACACCTCAACGTGCTTCTGAACAATTCCCAAGTCTTCAATCAACCCATGTAGCCAAATAGCTTCCTTAAAGGCTTCCGTCACTGCCATGTACTCTGCCTCTGTAGTAGACAAAGCCACTGTTGACTGAAGCGTTGACCTCCAACTTACCGGCCCTTTAGCAAGCGTAAATAAATACCCTGTTGTTGACCGGCGTTTGTCTAAGTCACCAGCATAATCTGAGTCCACATATCCTTCCAAATTCTGCCCGAGTCGGTTATCTCTCTCGAACTTCAATCCCAGATTGACCGTGCCATGTATGTACCTTAGGATCCATTTCACTGCCTGCCAGTGATCTTTTCCTGGATCATGCATATACCTGCTTACCATACTCACAGCATGCGAGATGTTAGGCCGTGTACAAACCATAGCATACATTAATGCGCCAACTGCATTTGCATATGGAACCTGTGCCATATGCTTCCATTCTTCTTCTGTGCATGGAGACAACGAAGCCCTAAGCTTGAAATGAGGGGCCAATGGTGTACTTACAGCTTTGGTTTTCCCATTGATGCCAAATCTGTCTAACACCTTTTTCAGATACTGGGTTTGTGTCAGACAAACCGTGCCCTTCTTCCTGTCTCTCTTGATCTCCATGCCAAGAACTTTCTTTGCTTCTCCCAAATCCTTCATTTCAAACTCCCTTGCTAACTGTGCCTTGAGTTTGTCAATCTCCACCTTGCTCGTAGATGCAATCAGCATATCATCTACATATAAGAGCAAATAGATGAAGGAACCGTCGGGAAGCTTACGGAAATATACACAATGATCAAATTGACTTCTTGTGTATTCTGTCTCCATCATGAACCGATCAAATCGCTTGTACCACTGTCTCGGGGATTGCTTCAATCCGTACAACGATTTGTTCAGCTTACAGGCCCAATTCTCTTTTCCAGCAATTTTGAAACCATCTGGCTGGGACATGTATATCTCCTCTTCAAGATCTCCATGTAAGAAGGCAGTTTTGACGTCGAGTTGGGCGAGCTCGAGATCAAACTGTGCAACCAAAGCTAACAAGATGCGAATAGACGTGTGCTTCACAACAGGTGAGAATACCTCATTGTAGTCTATTCCTTCCTTCTGAGCATAGCCTTTAGCTACCAATCTAGCTTTGAATCTGATGTTGTCTCTGCCTGGTTTCTCCTCCAACTCCTTATCTCGGCTTTCCCCTGTTCAACCATGGTGTGTTTAGATCAATCTTCCAAGTAGCAAGTTCTGACCGACCTAACCATAATATGTCACGACCGGACTAAATGCAAGGCCGGACTCACTTCAAACTGCCACCGGACCGGAGTTGCTTTGTACATTCTTGAACCGGAGTAACCACATCCCTCCTGGGCCGGAGTACCTGCACCTCTACTGGGCCGAAATAACATTACGGCTTCTTACCGATTCCTTCATACTTTGGGCCGCAGGGCCCAACTCACAGCTCGGCCTAATTCTTTCCCAAAAAATTACCCTCTCTATCCAAAATTCTTTAGATGCTACTTTTCATTTCCTCTTTACTCTGTTCGTGAAACACCTTGTGGTAAAGAATCAAACTTGAAAGTAATTGTATATTTGCTTTAAAAAGTGTACTAACAAGAGCAGGATAAGAATTTCCAAATCGAAACCAGTAGGTAGTAAGCTGTAATATTGAAAGATTAAAGGAAATAATTGTTTAAAGATTCAGAGGTTATATACGTTTGGTTCCATGGTGGACCATTTGCACACTCAATTTGCTAGGTTTCACTAGGTTATGAAAAGTATGTCTTATCATATGTCTTGTACAACATGATATTATTCTTGTCAGACTCCTCTTAAATATAAACCGCATTATGTGGATGAATCATATGGCAGAACATGTTGTATTTGCTGGATTGTTCTCTTTATTTTTTCTATCTTAAAATATTCTGAAAATGGTGTTCATTTTCTTTGCCTCAGATTCTTGAATTTTTCATTACCAAATCCTGGTGTTCTATTTCTAGTAACTGAGACTTTGGAAACTTCAAGGAAGTTGTATGGAGTTTATAACTTGCATCCCAAGTATGACTTTTTTTAATAGGAGGGGTATTCTTACCATTGTGAAATATGCTTATAATGGCCCAATTTTTTTCCCAGGTCAACACCTGTTTGTATGAGCTTCATATGTTGTTTTCTTTATTGTCTTGCCAGAGTCAACATCACAATTTCAGAACAAATTTGGCAGTGGAGAGAGGAAAAACTGATGACATTGACAACAACCCTTCTTCTTCTTCAGGTTAGTCTTTCAGCATCAAGTTTTACTTAGATTTTCCCAATCATTGACACTTAACCTTATTGATTTGAGTCCTTTTCAGTGCTTTGTCTCTGAATTTAGCATTTTGTACATTTGGGTTAGACTCAGATCTTTTGGGTTTGTTATATTTTGCTAGTTTTTGTTGCGGGTTATTGACTATTAAGGATCTTGCATTTGAAACCCACTGTAATGAAGATCCAATCTTTACTTCTTGGTCTCTGGACCCTTCTAGAGTTGTTTGGCTTATGCTCTTCTTTTGATGATTTTGTACCATTCCCTGATGACCCTTCAGTAGTCTACACCTACAATAGGTTCACTGAGATTGAAAACCATTGCAAGCCTTTTTTGTACTCGGCTTCCGAGTTGAAACCTGATGATAGTAGGGGTTATAGGCTTAAGAATGAACTTTCTTTCTTCCATGGAGATTGGGACCAAGAAGCTGGTGGAGCCCCACTGATGCCATTTGATGACAGTGACACGCCGTTGCAGAGTTCTTCTGTCATCTCTCCCCTAAAGTTCGTTAATTTTGAGGTGAAGGATGTAAATTCGGTCCATCATTCCAAAAACAAAGTTAGTCTCATTGGGCTCTTGTATATTGGCATAAGTAGAAATAGCACATATTTCTTTGATTCACAATCAATTTTCTATATGAGACCTGGCATGTCTGCTCTCAAAATTTCCTTTGAAGGAGTTTATATTGAAACTGAAGAAAATGGAGGGGAACGATTGATTTGTTTGTTGGGAAATACAACTCTTCCATCTTGGAAGTGGAATGATGATTTCTTAGACTTGACAATCAATGTTGATTCTTATTACAATCATCAGCCTCAACTCTTGCAAGATGATCAGATATTTCTTGTTCTTCGGTACCCTCAAACTGTTGGGATCT